TCCAGCTATGACACTTTTGACTAGGAAGCTGCGGAAAGCCAACATGCACCGCTGGAAAGAACCTGAGTTTTTGACGAAATCATTGAGCAGCTGAGCAGGACCAGCAATTGCTGCTTCCAGACTTGTTCTCTCAAAAAATAAGCCCCTATTCTTTTAAACCACTGCTAGACAGGTTTTCTACCCCTTGCAGCCAAAAGCACCCTTAATAGATACCGCTACGTTATCCCAATTTTACATGTGAAAATAGGAAGACTTTCAGAGGTGAAACAACTTTCCCAGGGTTGCATGACTCCATGATGCAGAGCTGGGTCTCAAACACAGCTCTGACCTCAGAGTCCTTTGCCTTAACTGCTAATGAATGCCTTTCCTCAAGGAGAACCTTTCTCAAAGATAGGTATGCTTGGAGCAAACCAGATAATAAATGTAATAACTGTCAAAAATGCTTGTGTTAGCCTCTGGGAAATTTCTTCTGGAAGCTGAACTCTCTCCTCTCCAGGCTGTGGCTTCAGCTGTTTCCAGATAACTGATATTCTGATAACACACTGATTTAGTCTTCTCAGACTGCTGTGACAAAAGACCACACACTGGGTGGCTTAAACAGCACGAGGTTATTTTTCACAGTTCTGGAGGGCTGGAAGTCCAAGATCAAGGTGCCAGACAATTTGGTTCCTGGAAAGGACCCTCTCCCTAACTTGTAGACAGCTGTCTTCTCACTATGGAAAGAGAGAGATATGTTTCTTAGGACTCCACCCTTATGACCTCATTTAACTGTAATTTCCTCCTATACTGTAATTTTCAAATACACTCACATTGGTGGTTGGGGTTTCAACATAGGAATTGGGGGGATACTACTCAGTCCATAGCACACAGATGTATGATGACCCAGGAGAAGAAAAAACTACAAGAATTTCAGCCAACCCCAGTGCTGGCAGGTTGTCCCCAGGCTTAATGCTTTGGAGCCCAGCTGTGGTCCTGGCACCCAGACTGGGGCCAGTCAGAGTGGCTCAGCTGCCTCTCTGTAGTGGCCCTCCTTGGGTTGCTCAGTGCTGATTTGGGAATCGCAGGAGTTCAGCTCTAGGGTAGCCAACTCACGGCTGCAGTTCCCTAAATTGTAATTGGGGGAATTGAAGGATTTAAAAATTGTGTCCTCCTAAAGAAAAATTGGAGGGAGATTTTATTTCTAGCATTAATTTCCCACCTTGTCCCAGGGCTGCTGGTCTTGAATCTTTAGAGCAGTTGTCCAAGTATATGAGGGATCTTCAAAAAAATTCATGGAAAGATTCATATTATCTTTTATTTTCACTTTTTCATGAACTTTTGGAAGAACCCTGCAGTCCTGGGCAAGTCAGTGTGGTTTGCTCAGAGAGAACCCTGACCAGAGCTCAAATGCATGACAAGAGTGAGAAAGTAGATGTGATTCTGTCCGTCTCCACCACATTTAGAAAATTCAGCCCCAGACAGTGGTCCCCAGATCTTTGAATTTAAGAACCTGTTTCTTATCAAAATGGTTTGTAGGTACTCCATATTGCAAACAGAGTATCAGTGAATAAGGAAAATACGTTAGTCCTACGAGTTTATTAACACTTTTAAATTTACTCTGCATTTTTATTAACTAAATCCATATTTCTATAGGGCTGAAAATAGGAGGGTATGTACAGTATTTCCTTGATTCTAAGAGAGCATTTCTGGTGAGACACTACCATGTCGTCTGCCCACATGGTTTATAAAACATTTCAGGAATTTTAAAATGGAATAGAAAAGCTCCATCTTAAAATCCAAGAAATACAGATGACAGATTTTTGCCAAAATGTTTCTGCATGTGGCTTTGTGCTCTTGCAAACTCCACAGCCCCATATGGTGACCACTGCTGATTTTAGAGTATCAGGTTGATTCTTTTCCCTTCTGTATATGGAGGACAAATACATTTTACTGGTAAAACTGCTCTATTTGGTTTTCTTTTTTTTTTTTTAACCTGGGTTGGTTTCAGCCCAGCCTTGCCTCAAGAGTGACATGTACAAAACACCACAGCCCAGTCAACCTGGGAGTGGCAGTACCCCCCAGATGGTAGCCTCGCCTCCTGGTATGTCTCTGTAGGTTTCCCTTTCTCTTAATTCTATTTTTGAGGGTTCCATGCTCTGAAGAACAACATCCTTTTCATTATGATTTCGCTCTCCTTCAGAATACAGTTTTGTCAACTCATGTATAGACCAAAGATTTCACAGTTATCACTGATGAGATCCTCTGACACTGGCCGCTGTATTAAGTTCCTGATTGTTGGGTAAGAATCTGAGAGTAATTGCAGAGATTAAAAGAATTCCTCCCTGACACCAGTCAATTTAAATAAGGAAAGCTTAAACAAGGCAGAAACTTGAGTCTAGGTAGAAGATAAAAATGAACCTGATCTTTATTATCGATCTAAGAATTTATTTCTACTTCCTCCTCTTTTTAATCTATATTAGAGAAAAATGCACTATGTCTACATACACACACTTTGATTCCATTTTAATGGAAACAAAGGTAAAGTACAGTTGTAAACACCATTTGCATTTGTTGGAAAGTTAATTTCACACACAAAGAATGTTCAGGAGTCTAGCACAAATTTTAAAAAGGCTGAAAATCCCTTGTCAATTTCAGGCTACAAATCAAACAAGTTTAGCATGTTATTTTTCAGATCTCAATATCATTGCTAATTAGAAGCACACCTCTTGTAAAATGTTTAATTGCTGTTTAAAATTTAATAAATTTTTCCTGTGGCCCACCTTGTGTTTTTCTTCTACTTGAAAATCCTGATGAAGTACTTTAGGATGGTGGAGTTTTATTTATTTATTAATTTGAGCAGAAAACCATTCTTTTTGTGCAAACTTATGGAACAGACTTTTTAAAGCAGCATTTTTTTAGTGTAAATTTATTATTACTTCAAATTTATATTATTTTCTTCTTACAGAATAAATGAGAACACTGTCAAAACGACATAACATGTTTGAGCATGCATGTTCATTTCTTATCAGAGCGTAACAGGTTAAATCAATTTTTATGCATATCTTGAATTAGGATGTCACAGAATCCCTGCTGTAACTTGGAAGGTGCTTTGGGCAGGCATTACTGAGCAGCGGGTTCTGAACTCACACAATCTTCTAGGAACAGTTCTGTGGCATGAAGAATATTCAGCCGTCTTCCAAAGTCAGGCAACACTTTCAGAACTGCTTGGGAGACTCGGAATGATATGGTAGAAACAGCTTTGAATGTGCATTAGAAGATCTGGGGCTTCACAGCTCACGTTAGCATATTGGAGGCTCTGAGAGGTGCCACCTTCAAGAAAATGACTATAGTTTAACCCTGTGTTCCCCAAATGTGTCCATTCAACCCTTTCCTCAACCCCAACAGCTACTGATGTCCTATGAATACACTTTGGGCAACCCCATTTTGAGGAATTAGAATCTTATTTTCATTTGGCTTCTTTAAGTGTATCTTGAACGTCCTGAAAATGCACTGTTGTGTTAAATTTAGTTATCTATTCCTACAGATTATAAACAAAAGTAAGGTTAATAACATCAGTGGTTAACCAGCAAATATTTCATTCATTGGAGGTTTTGGAAGTCGGTTACTCTCAGATGTCCTGATTCCTAGAGCAGCATTGATGCTTCGTACAGAATAAATGAGAACACTGTCAGAATAAATGAGAACACTGGTTAGTATTTTCTAGCCAGTAAGCAGTGTGCAAGGAAATGACTCCTTGCGTACTGTCTCCTTTGCATCCCAGAACCAAGTTTGAAATCCCAAGCTTAGCGGATGTTTTTCACTTTTCTATTTCTCATTAAAAGGGAGGGCAGGGGGCTGGAGAAAATCTCACTAGCAGTTAAGGACACCCTGGAGAGCAGGGGAAATGGGGCCAGTATGGCAGAGAAGCTGCGCGAGGAGCCAAGGGAGAGAGTTCTTAAAGCATGAGCCGCCTCAGGTCCTAGACCCCAGCAGCTGGGAGCCCCGGAAGGAAGATGTTGTGGGCATCGAGTGGACGGTTCTCATGAGTGCTGAGTATGGGGCTGGGGGCTGTATGGGGAGCAGCTGTGTACTGCCAGGAGGAGAGTTAAGTGATGAATTGTGCTGCTTATCTCGTGGAGTTGTGGGGTCGGATGAGCACTGATGTGTGGTAGGAGGCGTTAGGTGTGCGAGCTCTGTGATGAGCTCTGTGTTGAGGACGTCAGGGGAAAGGGGTGACATCGGTTTGCTTGGAACATCTTTTAGTAGATTCTGTTCACTTTTTATTACCATAAATACCACAAGAGTGAAAAATGATTCCAAACTCTTCCTCCCTCCACGTACCCAGATTAGCTGAAATACTTTGCTCCCAGCCTACCATTCCTCAGATCAACTTTGGAGAGGATCAGGAAGGGAGAAAAAATGGAGTCAAGTCACAGGGGATGACTGAACAGAGCAGATGGATTCCTCAGGACCCCCTACGTGTCAGTGCAATGAGTCACCGTGACGTGAATTGTGCTAGAAATGTCACTTGACATTAGTTATTTCAGGTTGGTAAGCTCTGTCCATCATATGAAGACTGTACGTATATATCATTGCTTCCATGTGATAAGATTGGAAAACTGTTCATATTTTTAACAAAAGAAAGCATCATTCAAATGCCACTTTCCCCCATCAGAATCTATCCTTCTGTGGAAGAAGGTAGCCCCGTCTCTACTGAAGCCCACCCAGCACTGGGAAGTATAAACACTCACTGGCTTAAAAGAATAAAAGAGAACCACTGGGCATTACTAAAACTGATGAAATTCCAAGTAAACCAAATATTTGTCTCATGTCCTAGAAAGGAAAATACTAGATTGCTACTTGGTTATATCTCTAAAAAGCTGAGCATAAAATACAAATGCCTCAAAATGCTAGTCCTAGTTTTTAGGTACTCTAGATGATATTTGAGCTCTTGAATCTTAATTATATATGTTTTTAAATATAAAATCGGTCCTGTAATGGCCTCTATTTGACTTTTGAGCATGGCGTATTTCAAGTATTCACCAAAGCCCTGTGCCCTTGAGGGTAAGGAATGGCTGCTGGAACCAGGGGGGTGATGAAAAAGGGTGTTTCTAGAGCTAATTCTTAATGTCCTGATGTTGACGGTTCCTTTTTTTAGATTGTGTAGAGTGCCTGTTTCTTTTTTTTTTTTTTTTCCTTTTTGTCTTTTTTCATGACCGGTAACGGGATCGCAACCCTCGGTGTGCGCCCATACCACGACCGGCAACGGGATCGTAACCCTCAGTGTCACGCCCGCACCACGCTCAACCAGTGAGCAGACTGGTCTCTATATGGGTTGGGATCGCAACCCTCGGTGTCACGCCCGCACTGCGCTCAACCAGTGAGCGGACTGGTCTCTATATGGGATCCGAACCCTCTTCGGGAGCGCCGCCGTGCTCCCATGCGCCGCACTCTACCAAGTGCGCCACTGGGCCGGCCCGAGTGCCTGTTTCTTAATCTTGTGCTCTTATACAACATCTGAGGAGCATTTCTTTGATGTGCAGTGCAGGTCTGCTCTGTTTACCTGCCTTCGTAGGCAGGAGATACTTCCAGAACTGTTGGGAGAGGCCAGGTGGTATGGGAAAAGGTTCTTTGGACTTCAGATAGAAGACCTGGATCTTGTAACTTCTGGCTCCTCTCACTTTTTAGTCTCATGAACTCAAGGCAACTACTCAACTTTTGCAGACCTCAGTTTCTTCAATTATAGTTGCCTCATAAGGCCTCCCACTCCACGGGGATATTGTTAGGTTCCAGTGAGATCATGCATGTGAAAACAGGCTGCGGAGGCTTCAGAAAATGCCCAGGTTATTAACAGGTGCTTTTCAGGCAATAGCAGAAGAGGTTAATAAGAAATCGCCTGTGGGTGGTGTTTACATTTGTGCCAGAAAGAATTAACTGAAAAGCTTTTGATTGGTTGTACTGCTCTTGTTTTATTATAAGGGTGATCTTATTAATAATGACTGAAGGAAGTTTTGTGCTAATCTGTGCAATCTGACTAGATGCTTTTCTGTTTTTGTTTTTGTTTTGTTTTTCTTTTACTGCCATTTGCCTATTGCATGGCTCCCAAAGAAATAGCTTTGTTTCCCCTTAACAATATTAGGGGATCATGATTTTGACCATACAGTGAAATAATTCAACCTGGAATAGAGTGAAGCTTACCATTTATATCATTACCATTTATATCAACCCTTTCTGAGGGGGAAAACGTTCACAAAGTGAGTTAAACTCTGTGTGCTTTGTTCTCAAGTGGTGTCAACTAAGGTTGGCTCCCCTTGTGATTCTATAATGGCTTCCAGTACGTGGTGTCAACTTTATTCTAAGGTTGGCTCCCCTTGTGATTCTATAATGGCTTCCAGTAGGTCATAAGGCCATATGTGTAGTGGTGTCAACTAAGGTTGGCTCCCCTTGTGATTCTATAATGGCTTCCAGTAGGTCATAAGGCCATATGTGTTCCTGCTCCCAGCATTCCCTGAAAAAGCCGTGCCACTGTTCAAATCGGCTCACCATTCTTATTGGATGTCACCTCTGGAGCCAAATAGAACCCCAGATGGAAATTGGGGACTGTCAATCAACAAAGGTCTCTCTGCAGTCTTCATCTGTTCATTCGGGCTGGCTGCTCAGGACTCCTGTTTGTAAACTATTAGTTTTTAGTTCAAGTTAGTATACCTATTTTAAACTTGTAAGTGAATATGTATTTAAAAATATGTAGTTCTTGGCTTTTTACATTGTTTTTTACCCTAACACCATGATTCTCAGCCTTTCTTCCCACGTCTTCTACACCTGAGGGCTCCTTCCACCTGTCACCATATCAGAATCTCCCAATAGAGGTGCTCACTGCAGCCAGGGCTTTGCCAATGCCCCCTTATCACTTATGTGACCAAGGCTGAACAACTTAACCTCTGAGCCACAGGTTCTTGATGCAACTTACCCTCTTCATAGGGTTGTTTTGAATGTTTACTGGGATGATATATTTGTCAAAAGAAGCCCAATGATGGACATGTGGTTTCTGATCTTTACCATGATAGAGGCAGGAGGAAAGGTGGCTGAGTCGATTGGTGCCTCGGGGATACCTGTATTTGCCACGTACTAACACTTAGGGTGGAGATCCTCGCCAAGGCCTGAGCTGCTTGAAAACCAAGTTGCCAAAGCCCTGGGGCTAGACAGGGATTGGAGCCAAAAATAGGTGAGGAAATCAAGGAAGCCAGTGAAGGATGAGTAAGGATGTCAGCCAAGTGGAAGCAGCCACAGATCTGCAGCTCACACAAACCCAAGATTAGGCTAATTCTATGCCATAAGAGGGGCCAGAGCATACAGCCCCAGCAGTTCTTGTGGGCATCAGTGTTGCTGCACTTCAGGTGTTCAATGCCAAGATACCCACCTACTCTTATTCAGAATAACCCAGTTCCTGTTGAAAACCAAGAATGTAATATTTATTTATTTTTTACATTTTTTTTTTAAAGGCTGCCAAGGTAGCTGGTAGATTTAAGCAATGAGTACACAGTTATCCTTGTCTAAGCTGTTCTAGACAAGTTTTCTTCCTGAGATAGAGGAAGTGGTCAATTAGGTAATCTTTGATATTCCTGTAGAAATAATAATAGTCACTAGCACCTACTGAGCTCTTAGCACATGCCAGGAGCTGTTCAAAGCACTGACATTTATTCCCCTAACATCCTGTGAGGTAAGTGGCCTAGAGAGGATAGATAGATAACTTGCTTAACGTGATGCAGCTGATAAGGGGCAGAGCTGGGATCTGAATCCGGGTAGACTGGCTCCAAAGCTGTTGATTACGATATTATACTACCTCCTAGTGATTTGATCTTGGTTAATTTTTTTAGAGGGAAGCTTGATCTAAAACTTAGAGCTTACATTAATTTTTGATCAGTACTTGAGGGAAAAGAGAGATGGTTGATCATCCGTACACCTTTGTTGTCATATTTTAGTGGTGAAAAACTACTACCTTTTGCTGTGTCCTCCCCACCCCCTCAAAAAACAAGAATAGTAGGAAGCCCTTGCTTCCACTTGAGGCAGCCATCTCGGACTTACTTTTAATTACTTATGGAACCCACCTCAACAAACAAACTACGAGTGAGATGGCAAGCTACACAGGAGGCAGGGAGGACATAACCGAGCCCTCCGGGGACTTCTGTGAGCTATTAATAGAACATAAAGTAGAAGAATCTAGACTTTTCCAACAGATAAATTAGAGGGTGATTCGCTGCAGTGGAAAATAACTTTCTTTTGCTGAACAGTTCATATCGATTTCCTAATCCTGGACATCCTTAGGGTATTTACAGTGTGATTTGACATAGATAGGTTTCATCTGCACTAGGTTGAAGTCGGAAATGTGTTTCAAGAGTGGGAGTCTGAATTGATCCCTGTTTAAAAGTGAATGTGAGATGACAGAATGATGGGCCATCAGAGCGGTTTCTCTTCACTTCTGATGACTCATCTGCACCCAGGGCAGGGCAGAACAGCACTCGCTGCAGCACCCCGCTCAGCCTCGTCCCCACCGTTCCTTCCTGACCCGCTTGGACATGGAAGCCAAGGACTGCCTTGAGTGGAGATGAGCGTTCATTGTGGACATTAACAAAAAGAAATGGGATACACATCACATGATTTATTCAGCACCAAAGCTTAATTCTACTCAATGGCTCCCACAGATCATGGTACGCTTTGGGGAAGTCATGACTTCCAGCACAATGTGAAAAACCCTGACATAGGCTAGAAGGCTTTGGGGTATGTGGTATTGGGGTACGCAGAATGGCCTGGAAAGGAGGCAAAGAGAAGATGGGACTGAGGTAGGCCTTGAAGGGCAGTGGGGTTTGGACCAACAGCAGAGAGGGAGGGGCAGGGGGAGAGATGGAGTCAAGGCACAGGCACCGGGGACAGTCAGGGAGGCGGAGGAGATGGTGGTGGAGGGAGGGAGCTGCTCTGAAAGGGGTGGGAAGACAGGCTGGCTGGATCAGAGGGTGTAGGGTCTGCGAGCCAAAGAAAGTAGACCAGCTCACTGCTGCGGGTCTCGAGCAGAAAGGAGATCTGGTAAAAATCTCTTGAAAGAAATGAGGCTGTGCACGTTATAAAGCTAACAATCATCCTTAGCTTCCATGGTGGTAGTTTTAGGTGTCACAAGCACCCTGAGCTTGCCAGACTCACCAGTGTCCCCATGGGGTTGGCTCCGATGACTGACAGTGCACAGCCTGTAGGCTCCCCCAGGTAGATGCACGGTGCTGCCCCAGGAGTCCAGGGCTGTGTTTACAGAATCAGTTTTATCCTAAAACTGTTAATGCCAGTTGGACTTGTTGGTAATTCACTGCTTTAATTAAATATGACATAAACCGTATAAGTGCAACAAGCAAGTTATTTTTTTGTGAAGAGTAAATCGGAACTTTGGAAAGATTCAATTAAGACCAGACACCAAAAATGATTTGGGTGTGCCCACTGCAAAGAAGATTGGAAGGGGGCGGTCAAGAAAAGCTGGAGGGATCCTCCATCAGACAGCTTTGCAAGTGTCTTTCCTAGTTCTCTGTCCACTTAGGGAAGAGCAGCTGGAAATTGTAGACAGTGCTTTCTGTGTATAGATTTGGAAAGAAAGATGACATGGAACTCCACCAGCTGTCGGGGACGCAGAAGAGGAGTGGAGAGCTCATCCTGTTACTTAGTTTTGACCAGTTTGTTGCTATTAGTTATTTATCCGGAGACGGTTGTGTTGTGAGATGTGCCTCTCACTTTTCTCAAGTCCTGTCACTTAGATTGCTTGTTCCATCTTGTTCTGAGTCCCCAGATGCGGGGTACAAGTACAGATGTTTTTACTCGAGAGTGATTAGAGATGTAAAGGCCATTATTGAGTACGGCTGCAATTTGTTATTACAGCCAGGACTAAGCTGTGGTTCCTATCATGTCAGCAAGGATATTGATGGACTGGTTTGGTTTTTTGTTGCTTTTGTGTGTGTGTGTTTCTTTTCTTTCTCAACCTTGCATCTAAGGCTTTTTAATAGATGCTGGTGGTGAAGGAGATTTTAAGATTG